GTTGACCTCGACCTTTCTTGCAAAGGGGCTGTTCACCAGACCACAACCTTTGATTCAACATTGTAAGTTAATATGAGTATTTGAGCTGATGGGGTGTACATTACCATGCAGTATTGGATTGATCATTGGTGTGAAAAAAACATTCATCATGAAACTGTGCAATAATCCTTTTTTCTCCAGGCTTTAGATGTGGTTCAACCTTTTTCAACTCAGGCCCTTCATACTGAACCATCCAGGCCTCATACTGTGCCATCAGAGGTAAGAAGACCCCTCTGCGGTACTTTACTACATCATCCCTCTCATGACCATCCATGTACACCCCTTTTTGGACCATCATGCACCTCCATCCAAGCTTGAGAAGCCAGTGTTGAGCTGTGTGCACACTAAGCAGCTGCTTTGGGTGAATGCCAAGGTCCAGAAAAATTGCTGAAGTGAGGGCATGCTGCAACTTCTTTGGAGTGATGCTGCCAACCTTCTGTGCAGTCAACCAAGATTGGGTGCATGCCTGTACAGCTTCATCATGAAGCCAAGAGTGGGCATTAGCCTTGCCACCTTGCTTCTCCATGGGCAGCTGTGCAAATATCTGGTAATGCCAAACAAGTGCTTGCACTTTCCGTGTGAAGTGAATTCCTTTGCCTTCATGCCATTGCCAAGCAATCTCAATGCTAGCTTGTATCCGTGAGCATCCCTTGATGCATAGAGTTGCAAAATTTGAGAGTATGGTGAGTTTATTGATGTGTGCCAGTGATAAGCTCTTGCTGTTCTTCTTTAGGTCTGATTTGATGTTTTTGCACATCTCGCTCCAATCACAAAATTTCATTATGTCCCCTCCTGCTAAAAGCATCAGCTCATCTTCCCAAGTTTCATTGTCAACATCTTCTGCCTCCTTGGCTGACTCACCTGAGTCCATAATCTCTGTGGGCTCCGGTTCATCATTTGATAATGCCTGATCTGATAGAATGGATGCCAAGCGGGCACATGGGATCATCAATGAACTTGAATACTGCTGCCATTCTGGTTGCAGCATGGATAATGTTGTTTGGCATACTGGTGCAGCTGCCATGGGCAACACATGTCTGGCTATGTTTGCTGGTCCTGCCATTGTATCTTGGTCAGGTGCCAGGGTTGACTTGTTGAAAAACCTTGTTAGTTGAGGTTGGCTTCGCAAGTTCTTCTTGTACCTTCAAACAGTTCTCTCTGATTGACTTGTAAAGGAATTGGCATAAGTCCTGGGTCTCGCTGCTGGAAAGGTAAGCAAGACTTTCTTTGCATTGTAACTAATTAACTCACCCATCTTTGATTTTGCATGAATTTCTGCCTTCTTTTAGAGATGTTCTGGGAGCCAGTCTGGGTCTTGGAGCTTGTTGTCCATCTCTGATATTACAGCCAACAACCATTCATCATTGAGTTCTTCCCACTCATCCTGGTCATCTGTGTCTGATCCTGTCTCCAAGTCTGATGTATCAAGCTCAGCAAAATCTGTTTTCAAACTATCAAAGAATAAGTGCAGAGGGGGCTCTTCATCAACATATTCTTCAGGACTTGGTGCATGGAACCTGGGCTTCAAGGCATTGACTTGGACTTCATGTTCAGAATTGTCTTGGTTCGACAACTGAGTATTTCGCCTGGGTCTTTTTGAGTGTGCCATGAGCAGACTCAGATGGGTGAGTAGTGCAACTTTATTAATTTTTTTTGGGACCAAACTCTAGATATTCCTCATTTTTGACCCCAGGGTCAGACTCAGGCTTGAAAATGGAGTTGATTGCACTATTTTTCGAGATTTTAGGCACTAGTTTGAGGTACTGGCCAAATTTTGGGGTCTGAGTGACCACAACATTGTGATTGGCAGCTTGAATTGTACTTTGTACATCTGTAAATAGTCTAATTATGCTTAGCATGTCGTTATACAGGTGTTTCAGAAGGCTGTGGAAAGGTTAACCATACTTGTTGATTTTGCTTGTCCCCAACTGTAATTTTCAGCAGTGGGGTTTGGATGCTAGTCAACATTGCAGGCTGTGAAATGTGTATTTCAACATTCCTAATAAATGATTGCTAGGAAGAGATCACAGCAAGAATGAACTTGAAGTGAGGATGATCTTACTTGGTTTGTTCAACAGGTCACTGACAGTGAGGCAACTTATTCAGCAATAACTCTCATGCCACATCTTCAGAAAAGGAATGCAAAGTTGCAGCTCCTTTGCTACTGGCTGAAGACAAAATTGGGCTGTTGAAACGTTGCTCTTTACTGCTGACTGAAGAATGTGCACCTGCTACTAAATGTTAATGTGCTTTGCAGACTCAGAGGGTCCAACCTGAGATAGGTAAGAAAAGAAAGTAGTCATTGGTTGTTGTAGATAGTGGGTGTCCCTATATGATGAATATGATAATAAAGCATCCATACAACTTCATCTGGGAGTCAAATGTAGACCCATGGGCATGCTTGAACTGGCACATCAATGGCTGTGTCAGTGTTTGTCAGTGCCATGTAAAAATAGCTATGCTCCCATACAGGGAGGATGCTGAACAGTCTTCTTCAGCATAATCCTGCAATGACTTCCCAATCACTGCATACCAGACCTGGAAAGTCCCATCACATGAACAAGAAACGACACAAGTCCCATCCCACGAGAAAGAGGCTGAACTTACCAACTCAGTGTGTCCTTGCAAGGGTCAGCCAACCATCTGCCCTGTAGCAACATCCCATAGCCAGACAGTCTCATCATTTGAACCAGAAACAATGCAAGTCCCATCCCATGAGAAAAAGACTGACCTAACCCAATGAATGCACCCCCACAAGGGCTCACCAACTGTCTTTCCTGTTCCTGCATCCAAAAGCCAGATAGTCTTATCATATGAACCAGTCACATTCCATTCAGTGAGAACGAGACAGAGCTAACTTCATCAGTGTGCCCTATCAAAGGCTCACCAAATGTCTGCCCTGTATCTGCATCCCACAACCTGATAGTTTTATCCTGAGAACCAGTTGTGATGTGAGTTCCATCGGGAGAGAACAAGACTGACCTAACCCCAAGATTGTGCCCCTGCAACGGCTCACCAACTGTCTGCCCCATTCCTGCATTTCACAGCCAGACAGTCCTATCCTGAGAACCAGTTTGCCATTCTGCACCTAGGTTAAAAACTGGAGAGGTTCAAGCACCATCCCATCCTTAGAACACACAAACTTCCCATATGTATATGTAGACTGTGTTCATCTAACAGGTGTCTCTGTCCCAAGGTTTGAGAATATGACTATACAATTTTTTTTTAAAAACTCACAAACAATGGGTTGTTCCTCATCCCACCAGGGATTGTTATTGTTTTGGCTTGCTTAGTTTGGTGTCAACCCAAGTCTTGTGTGACGCATTTTTTAACACCATCTGCGAACCTGGTACTTGTGGCACAGGTGGGGGAGCAAAGGCAGTAGCCAGGAAGTGGCTTGTAGCATATCCAGCTGCATAATTTCATGTCACATATTATACAGCAGGGCACATTGTAAGGTGCAAAATTAATTAAAGCAGCTGAAACAGGCAGGCTAAAGACAAGCAGGAGTGTTGAGCACCCTGTAAATAAAATGACTCTGAGTTCACTGTGATAATCGTTGTGTCACATCTTGCTGGACTGACACACTAATTGATGGTCTGTAAGTATATCAGGATATTGCAAGAATCATGTCAAGCACCCAAAGGACAGAGGAGAAGTTAGTCCAGCTCCATTGATTGGGCCTGATCCCATGACTAACTGCAAGGCTTCAGAATTCTCAGTTATACTTATCATGAGCCTTGTTATCAACAAAGAGGCTTACACTGTTCTCTTGCAGCAAACCAATGAGGGAGGAGCAGCCTTAGTCCTTCAGGTAGAACATATTGGGTCAGCAGTGAACATTACACCATTTCTGATAATACACCAAAAAAATTAAATCATCAAGACTCCCTTCAGGGCTGGGAGGGAAAAACCAGAAATAGAGCTGATGTCCTTGATGTCAGCAAAAAACATGCATGGACTGCTCATGTAATACACACCTGATGTGTCTCATTAGGACTGATGCTGATAGGTAGAAGTCCTGCCAGCTGGACCAATGTCGAAGTCAACAAAAGGCAGAGATTTGCCATTGATGTAAAACTCTGGATAAACATAGATCAGACATATCAAATGTTGACTTGTAGCACTCCAGTTACTTGAGTGGGGTTTGTGAACCTGATATTCTGAACACCATTGTACTTTACATTCCGAGGGCCACTAGCCTGCCAATGTTTTGCTGCCTTACATTGGCATTCGCTAATCTTGTGCTTGGTTATCCTATGACCATTGATGTCAAACACTGTGAGCAGAGCCTCAAATGCAGCAAGAAGACACATCACTGTCAAGTAAGCCACAAGTTAAATCTGTGAAGAAAAAATCTGTGATGCTCAGTACAGTAGTTCAAACCCATTCTGAACCAGAACTGAACCCCCCAAACCCCTTCACTGGCATTCGGTCCAGGGTTCAAGGTTCAGAGAAAATGGTTGAAGAACTGGACTGAACCAGACTCTTCAGCAGGCTTCTTCTACCCAGCCTTGTTCCTCGCACATTCGTGTTCATGCTATGTCAACATTTGCTGATGTGTTGTATGGCTGTATGCCTGATGGCATAGAGGGCTCAGGTAGTATCCATGTCGGTATCATTGTTGGCATTGGTAGCCTCATTGTTGTTGGGGGCTGCTGCAAATGGCTGGGAATGGATATAGCCCAAAACTCCATGCACAAGTTCAGCAAGATCTGCTAACCACTCACTTGGAACACCAGGGCTGGGCCATGGCATAAAGACATTTATGCATCAAGTGTGGGATGACAGGAATAGAGGCTGCCTTTTAATGGCAAGACAAGCTTATGAGGGCTGCACATCAAGTGCATTCTTTAACACCAATGATCACACGCTTGGTCTAACAATTATTTCAGTAGTCATCAGTTGTGTAAAAAGATAATATCCAAGTCTATTATGTCCTGGGGAGCATCATGATCACCATGACCAAGAATGGGATCGCTGAGTCCAACAGCCAAGACCACTGGATCCTGGGTAGTGTGGGCTTCATTTATGATTTGAAAAGACAGAGGCAAGCTGAACAAGTAATTTTCACAGGCCCAGAGCCAAACAGACAAAGAGTGGGTGACTGTGGAGCATTCACTTGAATATACTCTTGTATTGGTTTATGCCTGTTGTAAGCATCATTGAACAAGATTTGTGAAAGGATTTGAATGCTGGTGGATTTGACTGCCAAAGTCACCAATAGCTCGCTCCATTGGCCACTGGGGACAGGCACCAGAGTATGCAAAGCTTGCAGAGTAGAGACTTAGAGTGTTATTTCAGTCTGTTTTCTGCTGTGCAAGCTTTGCACTTACTTGATTCATGAATGATGCAGCTTTGTGGATGAAAATCAAACAAAAATGTGTGTTATGTTGTTTATGTAACAATACACTATCTGCAGCTCTTGATTTCCCAAGTGTATCACCATCCAACTCTATCTCCATCAACCTGCCTCTTGTGGGTTTTCACTTGGATTCAAGACTGGCATTGTGCAAGTATGTGCTTGCTGTGCAAAAGCTTGGCTTCTTGCGTATAGCCAAGGACAGTTTAGCAGTTACGAGCCTGAGGTATGTGGACGCATTGTGGGACCTTCATTTGCTCACATGCTTTAAGTTGTTCCCTATTCTGATCTATTGCATGCTCAAGCTGAAGGTCATGTTATTGATCTTAGTGTCAGGGAAGATAGTGTTGATTGTTAAAAGGTAAAGACATTTGTTATTTCTTTTCATATCAGTGATTCTTGGATTATTCCAAGATGAGACTGATGTGTTGGTGGATCTGGTTTGAATGCTCTGTTGACACTTGTTGTTCTTCTCCTCTCCCCTAGGTCAGGGAAGAGATTTATACTGCATTCAATGCCATCTACACAGTGCTGTCCGAGTTTAGGAAATCTTGATGTTGTCTACTCGAGGTTTCATTGTCTTCCTGCCTTTTATCACTACAGCTCTCACTACCCCACTTGTCAATAGGGCCACCCTGATAGTCAATGATGAACAGGACATCTGCAAGGCAGGATGATGACAAGAAGGGTAGCCATACAGTGAGTTAATCCATTCATTATGCATTCCTCTTCACTGATCAAGACTTACATATAAATTCTAGCCTGCAGGAACTCTCATTCATGCTCAGTCATCCATCTCTATCTCTGCTTGGTGACTTGAAGTTATGTTCATGCTCATCTATTGGTCTGAAACAATGTGTTCTGTATCGATTTCTTCTCTTGGACTTGCACTATGAGTGGCTATAGCACTAAGTATCTGCTCCTGACATATTATTGGGACTGCTTCTGTCTTGCAAACAAGCCAAGAACACAATGGTCAAGGAGTACTTCAAGGAGGACCAACTCATGGTTTGAACTAACCTAGAACACAATGGTAAAGACATATTTGGTCAAGGAGTATTTCAAGGAGGACTGGCTCATGATTGAATGTGCACTGTTATGGAAACACCACAAATATGATAGTATTGACCTGTTGTGAATCAAGAGTGTTACAGCATCAAGGGTGTTTATGTAGTGCAGACTCTAAGATCAATCAGTTATGTTAACCTCCTACAAATATAAAACAATGTAACATGAACCTTCAAATGGCCTGTGATTGCAAAACACTATAAATGGATGGAAGGGCATGCAAATCCAAGTCATTCACATGACATAGCCATTCATTCATTGCCATCCCGGACTGAGCCATCTACACTGGAAGAAAACCTCCTGTGTTTTGTAGGGCGATTATTACATGTATCAGCATTAGCTTCATCCTCCTGCCTCCCCCTGGAGTTCATGTCTTGCATGGCATTTACAAAAAAGTTCTGGAGTCCAGCAAATGGGGGGAAATGGTGCCAGAAGAGCATTGGGGTGATGGTATGTTTGACACAGAAGAAATACTTGTTGTCCCTGTCAATAGGCACCCAGGTGGACATCCACTGACTGTTATGAACTAGGATGGTCATAACAACAGCAGCTCAATAAGAGCGACGGCTGAAGTTATGGTTAAGACCTTGCAAATGCAAGGGTCACAAGACAAGATGAAGAGAGTGTCTTCAGCTTAAATATCAGTTCAGACAACTTAGGATTGGAGGTCCTAAGTGAAGGAATATCCAGGTGAAAACCTAGTAAGATTAAAGTAAAGAACTACTAAGTACATCATTGACTATATATAGTGAATCATAGGTGATTCAGGGCTGGCATAAGTTAGTGATGAGTCAGAGATAAGAAGTGAGTCATCTAGTGACAGCTATGGTGATCATGATGTAATACAGATATCAGAGATAGTTCTAGCAGTGGCATCGTGCAGCTCATGACATAATACAAGGATAGTAAGGAGAAAATGAATAGGGGCATATGTGTCTGTAACACTGACACTTTGTACAGGTAATGAGAACCTTGCCATTCTTTGTTGACACCTGGTTGTCAGATACCTCAGGATGGCAGCCCTCCTTTGTGCATGCACTGAACTTGTGACCAAATGTGTGGTAGGGGGGATGGTGTTTGCCGATCTCCCTACTCTTGACCATGCACCTCCCCTCTACATACAAGCCATAGACAATCACAACGGTATTGTAGTCTAGAATGTCCAGACTGGAGGTGAGCAGTTTGCACAATGAGTCCCAGATATCCAGGATCCTGAATAGTGTTGCATTGCAAATGAAGGCTTGAACCATGGGACCAACATTCACAGGGAGGGTCAAGGATCCTCCAAATCCAATGATGAAGTTAAAGATGTCACTAAGATACATGTGAGGGGATTGTGCGATGAACCAACAGTTTACCACTTACTCCTTCACTAGCGCCAGCAGGGAGTTGAAGTGATGATTGACCCACATGGCAGGTCCACAAGTTACAAGGATAAGGCCACGTTGATCACCCCTAGCCTTGGGCATGACATTGCAACATGGCGCCCTACCCTTGATGGTTTTCTCCACCGATGTATCATCCCTCACATATGATGACAACATCTTCATTGCCTTTAGAAATGGCTTACCAAGATAGGACTCTATTATCTCTGTGGCTGTGGTGTTGGTACCTCCTGAAGATCTGCTGGTATCTGCAACATACTGGTGTACTCGTTGGAGTGGGTGTCCATTATCACAAAGGTATTGCTAGGGATGTTTTCCAAGATGGAGGTGGTTATGAATTGGGAAGGAAAGCCCAGCTGGCACGATTCTTTGGTATGAGCCCTGGACTTCATGCCTAGAGTGACTGTAGTTAGCTGGTGATTACAAAGGTTAGTCTCCAGTTTCCAAAAAAAAAAGGAATTGTTTACATTTGCAGGCAAATGTTTGTATTGGGTCACAAGGTCAAGATTAACCAAGAGCTTCAAATACTGGTCCTTCATTGATTCCAATGTTATGTGAACAATGCAAGCTGGCCATGCCATCTTCACCCTCTTATGCATCCCATATCCAATTACCTTGTAAGGCAAGCTCCTCTCCTTTCCCTTAACCTTTCTGGCGCACAATGGACAAAGGAACTCCCACATCATTGGGACCAAGCCATAACCAATGCATCCTGTTCTACCTGGTTGTGTCTGGTGACATACAATGGTGCCGCATTTGACGCACAGGTAGAAGGTTGTTGGCTCACAGGCATCCAAGCAGAAATGGCAGGAGACTCCAAGAGGGTCAAGCTCAATTTTCATGATCTCACCAATGAGAAGCTTGATGGCAAGGGCAGCTGGGGGCTGACTGACAGGGGACACAATCAATGTGTCTCACAATGTCAGACTGCTGATGTTGACATGCCCAGGGGCAGAACGAGAGATTCCAAGGTGAATGCCAGCAGCATGAGATTTTGGTTTTGGGGGCATATCATTCAGGTAGTGATGTCACCAACAATGATATGTAGAGTAAGTGATATTGGCCTAGCCTTGGTTACTCAGATCTGGGTGAACTCATTTTTGACACTCCGACCAATCTCCAACCCAACATTTAATAATTCATGGAGCTTGAGCTTGACCTACTATGCCCTAGGCAATAGGGTTCAACATTGTTGGATATTGCCTTGTTTGACTGGTAAGTATTTTGGTTCACATTTGGTTTTCTGTTGTTCTTCTGGCTCAGATGATGAACTAGGCTTACTGCACATGATGTATGCGTCACGTTGTGTTTACCATGTGATGATTGGATGGTGTTTGTTCTCATCGAAACTTGGGGTTGTGGACTTTGACCTGGCAACCACAGACTGGTATGTCTTTGAGGTTAGGCTTTGGTTTGAACAACAAGTCATGAGGAGCCTTGTTGTCCAGTGTGCAAGTTGCCGTATGATTCTTCAGCTAGGTTACATGCATGACCACTTCCCCCAGAGGAGCTTGTGCAGTCCACTGGCATGGAGCAATGTGCATGTCCATTCAACAACAGTTCAGTTGAGTCATTCAGTGACTCCATCATGCTCTGGCATGTGGCACACATTGAGTTTGCACTCTGTCCCTTTGCTGTTTAGGTGACAGGTGAACTCGTCTCCAGTGAACTCTCTGCCATGATCAGAGCAGAAACATTCGATCTTTGTGTCGAACTGTGTGTTTTCCGGAATTTTGTTTCCAGGAGGATTTTCATTGAAGGGGATAAACAATACACTGAGTAAGTTGCCAGATGCCTGGATGCTCAGGTTTGAGCATCTAGGTATCTGACAACTTACTCAGTGGATTGTTTATCCCCTCCAATGAAAATTCCCCTAGAAACAAAACTCCAGAGCTTGCAGTGTGGGACTGGATGAGGGGTGAACTTGTACTGGTGAGTAACAGTGTAGTTGGATCGATATAACCTGTCCTTGCTAGTCACTCAGATGGAGTTTGAAGCTGTCAATGTTATCAAAGCAGAATGTGAAACAGGTGTCTTCAGATGAATGTGGAGATGATGCTGATAGGTCAAGGATGGGAAAGGACAAATCTTCATCAAACTCATCGATTCTACCCTCTGGCATGTCAGATCCACGGTACCATTTGCGCCCCCCATCCACAAGCATACCTCCATTCCTTGCAATAATGGTGGCATGTGATTCATGTAGGACATTGTATGCCTTGTGATGTTCATGGAGGATTCAGATGAACAAATGGTCATCCACCCATTTGGATATCAGACCAATTCCTTGTGATCTGAAGATGTCAGCACCTGCATCTGCAAACCTGCTGTAAGTCCCTGCAGAGGCAGAAAATCTGAAACAAAAACTGCAGTCAATTGCAAAGCTATCTTCCCCCATTCTGACAACCAAACCTGGCCATTGGGAAGGGTGGAGGAGAGTCATTCAATATGCTTATGCCACATCACAAACTGCTGCTTGTGAATCTGGGGGAAGGGACCAGATAAGGAGGCATATGGTGGAAGCAGTGCCCCACATCCAAGTGTAGAGGTAGAGGTCAGAGTCAATGGCTGAATTAATGGAGGATGTTAAGGTCATACTCAAAGGGTAACTGGATCTGAAGGGCTTTGGCCTCAGCTTGTGTGCTGTGCCCCTTACCCGAATATTGCCCCTTATTTCAGGAAGGCAAGACTAGCACATCCAGAAGGTTGGACGAGTAGTGTAACGGATCCAGATGACTTCCGGATGAGGGATAAGTATCATAAGGCTAATCTGGATGAGTCCAGACTAGAAACTAACAGTAATGGACTGTCGGGGACAGAGGCAGATACAGATAGACTATAGGAATCAATCCTAAGTCTTGGAGGGTGACAAGAGTAGAGGTACTCAAGTCCAGAGGACAGGAATGAGTAGAACTAAGATGATATTCAAACTGAGGTACTACAGAAAGTTACAGGAGGTTATATACTATAGGTATCTAACGGAATGATCAATCAGCAGAGTCTGAGGCTATGTACAAAGCATGTGGATAGTCTATTGGTAAGTAGAAACAGATCACAAATCATGAAACAGAAATGAAACATAGGTAGTGGATAAGGGAGCAGGACGGATATACAGATAACCAAAATACCGGAGTTAGGGGGTTACCAAAAAGAGATGAGCGTTGGTTGTGGATTTGGATGAGTTGTGGACCAGACCGGACAAGTGGAACAGATTGGATGACGAGATGTTGGAGGGAGATAAGATGTGGATAGGATTGGAGACAAGATGTGGATCTGAGATGAGATAAGGGTCAGATCTGAGATCCGGATATGCAGATATGACAGAGGATATAGTTGCAGATGGATGGAGCAGAAATGAAAGGTTTTGTACAAGATTGAATTTTCTGGTTTCCCTGTCTCAGGGACCATAGAAAGCAGAGCTGTTTGGAAAGGACCAATGAGTTTTTCTGTCTCTGTCTTAGATAGTGGGCCAATATAGTGTCCTGTAGAGTACTTGTGATCCAGGATAGTAGTGAATGTGTCATATTGTGTGAGTAACAAAGGACTATTAGGAGGGGAATAAGTATGATAAAGACGCCCATGAGGGTGCCTTCATCCTACAGCATCAATAATAGCTGCAGTGACAGTGAGGGCTTCAAAAAAGAAGATGGTGTCCGAGGAAATTGTGTCAGGGAGGTCACACTGATAACCATGATTGAGAGACGGATACCAGTAAGCCATTCTGCTTGCAGAAACATTGCTGTAAACAGAGAGAGTAGCTTGGGACATATGATGAAAGTCCCAGCTAACTGACCAAATGAAATCAACCCTGTCAGAAGTGACAAGGTGATGCATAAGCCATTTGAATTCTTGTATGACATCCTGATTGACCCAGATCAATGCCCTCTGCTCAAGCTTGCCTGCAGTTTTGGCATATAGAGCTGAAAGACCAGGTTGAAGCAAAGGATATATGTCAAGGACTGGATGAGAATTGAAAGGAACAAGGGTAAGTCAAGGAACCAACAGCAAGCTTGGACATACGACCAGGGATGGCCAAACCAATGAGTACTTACAGTGGCTCAAAAAACTGTCCGCATGTTTTGACATTTTTCACTATCTATGATATTGTGTGAGAACTCACAAATGGCTCAAGGACATGCTTATAGCACATTGTAGTATGGCTTCAGGGCTTTCATTTAAGCCCTACACCGTGTGAATCGGTGGAGATATGGTGGAGATACAAGGCTCACAAAATGGTGACTTATGTGGACAGTTTTTTGAGTGTATATTAAAACTATATAAATCATTATTTATGACACCACAAAAATCATGCCACTATTATATAAATTATGAAGTGGTGTCATTATGTTATTTTATGACTATATCTAACTATATAAACCAGAATATCTCATGTATCATAGTCATAATCACCATGAAAGCCATCTCCTCTGCTCAAAGAGATAATATCCTCTCTCTGTCTTATGCTGGCCTCTCTGCTCACCAAATTTCCTCTAGAACTGGAGTATGCAAGTCCACTGTGGCCAAGTTTATCAAAGAAAGCCACCCAGACAAGGAAAACTCTTGTGGAGGACATCCATCCAAGCTTACCTCTACTGACAAAAGGGCTATTATCCAACATATCACTACAGGAAAGGCTGATAATGCTGTCCAAGCCACCCATTATATCAATTCCACCATCACTACCCCTGTCTCTTCACAAACTGTGAGAAATGTTCTCAAGGCAGTAACAAAGAAGAAAAAGCCTCTTCTCTCCATCAAAAATAGGCAGAGAAGACTAGCCTTTGCCTTAGCTCATCAACACTGGACTGTAGAGGACTGGAAGCATGTTATATGGTCAGATGAGACCAAAATCAATAGGACTGGGTCAGATGGGAAGGTATATGTATGGAAAAAGAAGGGAGATGGCCTAACAGACAGAGGTTAATGGGACTGTCAAGTTTGGAGGAGGTTCTTTAATGGTATGGGGCTGTATGGGATGGAATGGTGTGGGAATGCTTGCTGAGGTTGAGGGGAAGATGAATGCTGAGCAGTATGTGGACATTTTAAATGACCACTTGCTGCCTAGCTTGGCAGAATCAGGGATTGATGAAGAAGATATCATTTTCTAACAGGATAATGATCCCAAGCACACATCCAGAAGAGCTAAGGAATGGTTTGAAGAACATAACATCAATGTTCTTGACTGGCCAGCACAGTCTCCTGATGTCAATGTCATTGAACATCTCTGGGGAACACTCAAGAAAAAGCTTCAAGCCTATGAAAACCCCCCTAAAGGAGTATGGGAGCTTTGGGAGAGAGTAGCAGTGGAATGGGAGAAGATCACAGCTGAGGATTGCCAGAAATTAATTGAGAGTATGCCTAGAAGGATAGAGGCAGTAATTAAAGCCAAGGGAGGTCA